CTTGACGAACCAGTTCGCGGATGCGCGCAACTGTAACGTTGCATGTGCTCGACTGCTGTAGTGCACGCATCGCCTCATGGGAGTCGGTGTATATTCGAGTTTCTGTAGTTTCTGCTCGTGGCATGTTCGTGGCTGTTTCAACGGCAAACAAAACTGCCAGAAGTTCCGCCATGCAACTGCTCCGTGTACATGCGGTAAGCTTGTGGTTCGTCTCTTTGCGTGTAGGGGAATGCCAGGCAATCGCAGTGCGGCCGTTGTTGTCTCTCGCCGCGTCCGTGTAGAAGACATCCACGTGCGCGGCAAGCTTGCTGACTTCAGCGCGGTGGATGGCTACTTGTGTAGCACGTCGTCCAGGGTGATCAGGTCCTTGATGACTTGGGAGGGGCTTGATGGGAGTGACTGCCTCTGCATCCCAAGGTGGCGTCGGTGTAGGCATGAGTGGGCCGTCAATTAGGTCGGAACGGCCAATCGAGGCAAGAATAATTCGCCCGTGAGGAGTGCGAGATAGCCGCTGAGCTTGGCTTATCCGCATCTCCTCGGCAATCTCACGGATGGTGTTCATTTGAGCGGTCCTTTCTAGCTGTTCAACCGGTGTGAAGCGGGGGAGCCCTGTAACGACCCGCATGGCCGCTCTCAGCATGGTTACTAGTGTGGTTTCTTGAGTATTTGTAAGGCGGAGGTAGTTCAGTCCGTACACTACCTTCGAGATTAGGAGGGTACGGACAAGTCGCCGGAGGAGATCATCCTGTGCACCCCAGGCCTTGCTCGAGATAGCCTTGAGCAAGTCTAGACCCTCCTACCACTGCGATCTTACTCTCCGAAGCCAAGTGACTGCACCGCCTTTGTGGTCAAATGGGACCCCGAGGATTTTGACGGAGTTGTTCTGGGCGATGGGGATTCCATCCACCCTCAGTTGGATGTCGGTACGGGCGCTCCTGCGTCGGCTGGGTATAACCATGTACGTGGTCTTCTCCTTAGATAACTCCAACCCTGATCGGATGGCGAAGGTCATGACAACGTCAAGCGCGCTCTGCATGTAGCGTTGTTGGCTATCCGCCCCACCTGCCGTCGTCCACAGGGTGACGTCATCCGCATAAAAGGTGAAGCGAATTTGTGGGATGGCTTCAAGGGCGAGAGCCAGGTCAACCATGGCGATGTTGAATAGTAGCGGCGACAAAACCGCCCCCTGTGGAACACCGATATTGTTTGTTCTCCATTGACCTTTAGTTTGTCCGATAGAAACCTGGAACGTGCGATCCTGTAGGAATGTTTTGATGAAATTCAGGAATCGGCCCTGTATACCTCTTTTCTTTGCGGCGGCCACGACTGCGCTGTGTGGTATCGAATCGAATGCCTTCCGTAGGTCAATGGCCACGAGCGTACGCGGTTGGCTTTTAAAAAGCCGGCGCTGGTAGAGATCATGATGTATCATGAGCAGGCTGTCTTGTGCCGAAAGGTGAGGTCTGAAGCCCGTTTGCATGGGATGGAAAGCACCCGTCGATTCAAGAATCCACGTCAGGCGTGTTGTGACCATGCGTTCTAAAACTTTGCAAAGGTTGGACGTCAAGGAGATCGGGCGGAGGTTAGCCACCGCGTGTCTTGCCGGGCTTTGGGATAGGGATCACTGTAGACCTCTTCCAGTCGGATGGGAGTTCACCGTTCACCCAAATGGTGTTGAATGTGTCAAGGAGCTCTTTCATGGCATCTTGTGGAAGGTTCCGGAGCGCTGTGATGGTTACACGGTCTGGTCCAGGTGCCGACTTTGCTCGTGCCGCGCCAAGAGCGTCCAGGAGTTCTGCGAGCGTGAAAAGGGCGTCCGCCGGCTGTTCGTGCACGATGGTTTCCCGGGCGTAGACTTCGGCGGCGGGTGGCTCGGGCTGTTGGGGGAAGAAACAATCTCCTGCCTCTTCCGCAAGCTGCTCTTCCGTGATGTCAAGGCGGAGCGCCAGATTGCTTCCGGTGTTGCACATTTTTGTTTTCCCGGCAAGCCCTTTGTAGGCTTGCCACAGCTTGCGGTAGCCTGTCCGTTCGTTAAAGGAGTCGCACAGGCTACGCCAGATAGTGCGGCGGAGCTCGATTGTGTATTTTTTGGCCTTTGCTGTCGTGCGATTTAGGCGGATCTTATTCCTTAGGGATCTCCTGGCTCTGTAGCGCTGGAGAGCCTCCAGTCTCCTGTCCCACAGCTTGATCAGGTGCAAGTCGGGAGGTGGTGTGTCTTCCTTGACGTTGTATTCCGCACGGGACTCCCGAAGGGCTCGCTGAATCCGGTCTGCGAATGGGACGTTGGCAAGACGGCTCATTGCGGTGCCGAAGTTGTCCCACTTTGTGAAAGTGACTCGACGCCTGGGCGAGGAGCTGATGGGGAGCTTTATGCGTATAGGGAGGTGGTCACTGCCCCATGGATCAGTCTGGACTTGCCATTGCGCCTGTAGACGTGGAGAGGCCCAAGTGAGGTCGGGAGACGTGTCTTTTTGGCTGGCGACTTGGGCCAGCCGTGTTGGAGTGTCAGGGTCGTTGCATAGATGAAGCCCAGCTGCGAGGCATGCTCTCTTGATGTGCTTTCCCCTGGCGTTTTTGTTCGGGTATCCCCACGCGGTATGTCGGGCGTTGAAGTCTCCAGCTAGGATGGTATGCTTGTTCTGTTCTACCAAGCCCTTTATCCAATTGACCTCGTTCGAGTCCCCGCACGGTCTTATGTATGTGTTATGTATGTTGATGGATGTGTCTCCAAACTTGACCCGCGTGGAGACGACTTCGCGGTCATCAGAACATGACGCCTCGGAATTCAATTTTGCCTGCTTGTGCTTTTTCTTTATAAGTGTAACTACAATACCGAAATTTGATGTCTGTCTTTGTATACTGGGGTTAATGTAAGTGTTGTATCCCCTAATTTTAAGATTCCTGACGTTAGCCTCCTGAAGAAGAATAACGTCAGGTGCCTTGTTGCTAAGTATTGACAGACGCGTTTTGAATTCATGAATTTTCTGTTGTAAGCCACCGCAGTTCCATTGCAGGATCCATGGTTGCGGGTTCACTCGAAGCTTGTTGCGCTTGTGGATGTGTTTTGCCCCTCGGGTGTTTGTATGTGTATGAGAATTACTATCCGTCACTGCGAGTGCCTATGAGTTTGTGGATAGCCGCCGTGAGCTCGGACAGCTGTTTTTCAACTCGCGCAAATCCCGCGTATTGAAGCTGTAGGATTTGCGTCGGCATGTCCATATGTTGGGGTGGATGCGTCAATAATGAAGTGGGTTGGAATGCTCCCATTGTCACTGCTGCGTCAATAATGAAGTGGGTTGGAATGCTCCCATTGTCACTGCTGCATACGACACGCCGGCATCTTGGCTCACCGGTACAGCGGCAGGTGGTAGGGGCTTGGGCTTTTTGCTTCTTTCCTCCGTTCTCGTAGTTTTCTTCGGGGTGCGCCGCGGTGGGATTGCGCGCTTTGGACATTCATTGCTCGTGGCCACGTGGGCCCCATCACAGTTTGCGCACTTTGGATCTTTCGTGCACTCCTCCATACCATCATGCTGGGAGCCGCACGTTCCACAGCGCTGACCTTTCCGTGGGCACACGTCCATTTTGTGGCCAATTGCATGGCATTGAAAGCAGACTAGCGGTCTCGGGCGGTACTCACGAACGGCGAGAACCTCGTGCATGTACGCCACCCGTTTAGGACAAGTTTTGTCCTGAAATGTCACGAGTATAACGTTTCCCTTCTTCCCCAAGGGGCGCGCTGCTACCACCTTCTGGGTTCTGCACACGATATCCTCCAGAAGTTGTGCAGGAGATACCTCATTACCTTGACCACGTAGGTACACAACACCGCGGCACTCGTTTCCGGAGAGGGCCTTGTATGGTTGGAATGTGCTGTCTTCGTCCCCCTTGCGGATTTCCTTTATTGTCATGAGCTTTGCGGTGATGTTAGGGTCCCTGGTGGTGATGGACAAGGCATTCGCTTTCTCATTCCGGTGGACGCTGTAGTCCGCTTGAGCGTGGATGCCGGCATGCTGGATTGCATCGCGGATTTCTTTTCCAGTGAATGCACCAACTTCTTTCTTTCCCACGGAGCGAAGCACCCCAGTTTGTACCGGAAGCGGCCCCGGTGTAGATTTGTCGTCTTTTTCCGTTGCTTGTGGGCTTCGTTTTCTTATCTGCGAGGTAGCGCCTGGGAGCGGCCATTCTTGGTCGTCGTCTGTCTGGGAGACCGACGTCGCAGTTAGCGGTACCGATGGTACGGATTGACCCGGCGTGGGTCCTTGGGACGTGCTGTACGTCGACGCGCCAGCTTGAGAAGCCCAGCCGTCTTCTTGCGGCTTCGGGTTTGCCGATGGGAAGCAGCCATCATCTTCCATTTGTTGTACTCCTTGATAGGACTCTGCCTCGCGGTCCCCAGTAGTTGGTCTCATGGGCGACCGTGACCTATCGTTATTTCGTTTAGACCGTGGGTACTGCCTTGGGTCTCTCTGTTTATGCTGGGGCGGGTCATTCAGGACTTCTTGTGGTAGCGGCACAAATCGAACAACAAATTGTTGCAGAGCTTCCAGGATTGCCGGTTGGCGTTCAATCACTCCTGCCAGAACTTCAAAAAGTTGGCTCACCTCCGGCGGTGGTAATCTTTGGTGGGTCTGAAGGCCGGCGGACTGGGTCTCCTGCAGCTGACCTGTGCCATCTTTCCTGCCAACTTCTATTTGGCCCAATTTGCAAACGGTTTCTTGGGTCGGCGTGTTCTGGATGCCTTCCGTTATTGGGCCCGATGTGGCCGTGTATTGGCAGCTCGAGTGTATGCCTTCTTCTGTTCTGGATGCCTTCCGTTATTGGGCCCGATGTGGCCGTGTATTGGCAGCTCTGTATTGGCAGCTCGAGTGTTTGTGTCTCCCATTTCAGGTGATAGGCTTAGCGCGCTGTTCATGACACCAAGTTCGAACATCACTGAAGTCGTCCCTCCCGGGTCAAACATTGGCGGTCGGAGGGTGACGGGAGGCCCTCGTTGGTCCATGATGCCCTTTCGGGCGCGAAGGTCCCTTAATTTGGGCGCTGCGAATAGCTCTCGGCGGAGGTAAGAAAAACAAGTCTTACAGATCAAGCGCTTCGTCGTCCTCCCACTACACCCGTGCTCTGCGTTTCCGTCTTTTATACTGGTCGTTTTGAACGTACGGAACTTTTCGGTGACTCCCTAAGCAATAAAATATATTCCCAGCATGTTGATTTTTTCCCAGCAATGCCATACCCCTGAGAGTATTTTAAATGGCTCAGGGGATGAATCTCTTATTAAAAAGTAAACGCTCGATCATGCCGTAATTATTTGAAACCCAATAAATCAAGCTGCTCCAATGCGGTCCGAAGCCATGAGTTTGTTTCCCCACACGGCACGTCGTAGCCTGTATTTCTATTGGTTTTTCTATTTGTGCTGTTCGCGCAAAGCTGCATTTGCCGTCTTAAATTAATCTCTGTAGAGCGGATATTCACTACTCAGCTGGAAGTGATGCTTCACGGGCTGAGAAATCGCTTTTCCATCAACTTGAATGCAGTCAAAGCTGCGACTAGCGGCAGGTACGGAGCTACGCCGTGGCTAGAGCACTATATAGAGTAGCGCAATCCTTTGAACCCCGTGTTTTGCCGACAACATGGCCGACAGAGTGACTCGGCGCGAGTCACGTGGTATTCAGGGTTCCAGGAGGCGGCCCGCCCTATGGGAGAATACATGGAGATCGACACAACATGGCTGATTAAAAAATAAACGGCGAGTTCGCACTTTTCAAAACTAGTCTGTCGTGAAGTTAGTAAAGCACTAAACATTTTATCAAAGTTTTAATAATATCGGATGCGTGTGCAAATTTTGAGAAGGCAATTTCCAAGGCAATGGTGTTTGAAGCAGACGATTTTTGCTCGCAGCGGAGATGGGCTTTTCGGGTTGGCCGGAGCGGGTCACGTGAATGGTGTGACGTCGCCGTGTCGTCTGCTGCATGATGCCGCTCAGGCAATTTTTTTAAAAAAGTCACGTCCTTGCGGGGCACAAAACTTAACGCAAATTATTCTAAAATGTTTCATTATTATGTCAAAAACAATTGCCATTCCGTACAACCCCACAATACTGAAGAAACAACGATTTTCTCACGTTCTCCCTGCATTTCTGACCGCAGTTGGAACCTCCGGGCGTTCGCCGCTAGTCGCCGAGAGGCGGCGTTCTGGATTGCGCTACGTGCTCTAGCCGTGGCGAGCTTGAAAACTTCTAGCGCTCATCCCAGCGCGCCACTTGGAGGGCAGTTTCTCCAGGAACCGTAGTATATTTAAACAGCAAAATAAAGGGTAGCTTTTTTTTTCCGATTTTACCTACTATTGTTTTTTAATGCTAAAATTAAAGGGATACGGAATCGAAACTTGAAATATAGAGAAAACATCAAGAAATGAGTTCAATATGATCAGCTAAGCCTGTAATGAATAATCGCACGGTCGTATTTTGAGCAGATGGCTATATTTTATGCTCTAAATGCCGCGATTTTGGCGAGCGCTTCAAAATCAGCCATGGAGGAGCGCGATGCATCTCGGGAGATCCGGCAGACGTCTTGACGTCATCATGCCTCGGACGACCAAGCGTACCGTAGTGACGAGTTTTGCCACTTGGAGGCGTCAACGCGTTACAATCTCGCTTTGTCGAAGAACCCAAGGGCTGTAGAGATCGCGGGGCCAGCACGCGCACCAAACCTGAGAACAACCGAAGCACGCGTTTGCACGTCGCGCGAGAGCTGAAACCAAGGTGGCTCACTTCGTTTTGGCTCTTTCCACCAAGACGCCTCGGTATTGCGTTCAGGCCTAGGCAATCTATACCAGTGAGCGGACATACCGCTGCGGCGCTGCTTTCAGAGGCATGTTGTCGTCACGACATTCCATTGAAGCTTCATAACCAACTACCAGGTGGTTTTTGATTATCGTTTAATTCACTTTAAAATATGTTTTCTTGCGTTTTCTAGCGCAATATTTATGTTTCTGTGGTTGTGCTGCTACCTGCGTCGTGTTGAAACAAAGAAATGAGCTCCAGAATTTGGTTTCCGTACCCCTTTAAACACAGTAAATATACGTACTTTCCGTCACGATTTCGTACTGTTGTCCTTTCCCGAGAGCGCAATCGCTGTTGGGGACGAGACAACCGACTGTTACATTGGCCACTGTACGATAGGAGCTTACCGTTCAGACCAGCGTTCCAACATGACTATCCGCACGTTGATCGATTGCACGTAATCCCTCATGTGGTATTAAACGTTTTAATGTAAAGCGGAATGTCAACCTGCGACACCCCGCCCCCTCCGATCACGGCCCGACCAGCGGCATCAATGCCCGACAGTTTACGATCTCATCTTCTTGTTACACCACTGATACGCGAACACACGGTCACATCGGCGATAATTCCAGTCTTCTGTTTACAACCCACGACACTGCCATCACGATGTTGCAGCTACGTTGTTGACACGCACAAATACAGAACCACGTTGAACGCCGGTTGCACTCGGCATCGGAAAACAGAACCGAACTCAGCACGGAAGGCACCCAGGCAGCCGGCAGCAAAACCTGCCTGTCTTGGACGCAGTTCCTGCGGTTTCCGTAACGTCGAAAACGTCGACACAGTTCCGCTTGGTTTCGCTACCGTAGTTCCGTGCCGGTGTAGGACGCCGATCTCACTACCCCTCTGCTTCGACTACGGTAGTGGTTATGGCATAGAGTTATTATAATGTACGCTAGAGGTTCAACTGGCGCTAGTGTGCTGCTGCAAATTGAAGCAGACAGCAACCAGTCCGAAATTGACTTCCGGTAATACATTTCTATGGAGAAAAGTGAGTGCATTTGCTCTCTGCGCTCGAGTATAAGAGCAAATATCACGACTAATTCGTACGCACTGGGCACATTAGAACATTTCTCAGTCACGCAGACGGAATAATTGGTCAGTTACGGCGTTTTTATTTTAAATTCGTGGCATAAAAAACGGTGCTAAAACTGCTTCGTACATGTATTTATGTCCACTGTCGGACACTGTTAGCGCGAACACGGCATCGGCGATTTCTAGCTTGGGGGATATACGTGCCAAACGAACGAAAGACATCTGACTATGAGAGACGGTAAGAACTACGCGGTAACACTGAATAAGTGACTCCTTTTGCATGCAGACGATCAAAATAAATTGAAAGCCACGTAATATAGTCTGATTTCCAATAAATAAGTACTGCTAGTTTTACTCTTTCTGCTCATGAATATGTGCGAAGATGCTTGTTCTGGGTTCCAATCATCACCCGCACGCTCCAAATCTTTGCAGAAGAAGGGAGAAGCCAGAAAACAGGTGCCCGATAAAAACTGCTTGACATAGAAAATAATAAAAATACACACCTTTTGTAGCCCACGTACTTTATTTTTTTACATTCGAATGTTTTTTTAACCGATCGTAAAGATGCGCACGACGGAGTCATTTTCATATAATGACACGACGGGCATATTAGCGATATATGACCCGCACCAGAATGCTAGCTAACCCTGAACACATTCTACATTCCTTTCGATCGTTATTTCGCTTGGAATCGCTGCTCGTTTTTACATACCTGTCATGGTACAGAGGTTTGGGCCTGAAATACACCGAATTTTGACATCGTTCAGTGGTAAAGAAAAATGCCGTAACTAAAGCATTTACACTTTCATAATGTTAATAAAGGTACACACTATACAGTACAACCGAAATAACACAAGTTATTTATGTTATTTTCCGGCGAAGAGACAAAATGTGCGCGTGTTTCCCCATAGGAATGCACAGGAGCACTGCAAAAGTAGACTGGTTGCTGTCTGCTTCAATTTGCCTCCCGGAAGTCGCATAGACACTAGCGCCAGTTGAACCTCTAGCGTACATTGTAATAACTCTATGGGTTATGGGTAGGGGTGTCGCGAACTTTTGTCGAACCCGATTTTTAGGTCGAACTTTCGGGGTTCGACTAGGTCGAACCGGTTCGACGAACCTTCGAACTTTTCACCAATTTCGACCGGTTCGACTTTGTGGACAGTGTGGCCAGACCTTGATACAAGCATGTCTAGGTTTAGAAAATTTATTTTTATAAAAAGGTTTTTTTTTCATTTTATAAACAATTGCAATTAAAATAAACTAATTCTAATCACTAAAGAAGTTAATAACTTAATTGTTTTGTACTGTATTAACTGAAATAACCAATCAGCGCTGTCCTTTATTAATCCCTGAGCCATCACCATCCAATCCGAAGCCAACTGGCCAGCCTGTCGCGCATGCGCGCACGAGTCGAACCTCAATACAGGGTTCGTCGAATTTCCGACTAAAAGTTCGAAAAAGTCGAACCTGGTCGAACTCGAACCTCGGCCGGTTCGCGACACCCCTAGTTATGGGGGTTATGGCGTACGCCAAAATCAATACCGTAGTCATTTCGGCGTACGCCATAGTCAATACCGTAGTCTTTTTCGCATACCCCAAACACACTACCCTTACGCCAAATTCAATACCTTGAATAACGTCGGTTCAGCAGGGGTTGAGCTCTGCATTCCGCTAAAACTGGCGGAAGTAACTTTCTGCGGCAAAGTACTCTGATTGTTTGTTGTTTGTATGAGCAGCGGAACGCGCGCGGCAGGCGTTGTTAATTTTGATTAGCGTTGATACGGCTGACGGCGCACAAAGCTGAAGGGCACAAGCAAGGAAGCTTGGAGTGATTCTGTGTCGATGTGATTTGACGTCGCTTCTCTTTGTTTCTTCAATCATGGTGCAAATGCAGGTGCCCGACTCCCGAACGATTCGAAGGCAAGAGTGGTAGCCCGCCTATCCGCTGGTCTTTCAATCGCATCCACTGTCGTCATTTTGGGCACAGCGGAAGAAAATAAGACGTTCACTATTTTAAATGGCGTGCGATCGGCCTGTCTAGGTTCTGGCGATACCGTTTCAGGCTGTAGATGAGAAAATTTAGCCACTACAGTACGACTGCTAGCCTGGGGTCTGTGCCTCACAACAGATCGAAACGGGTAGGGGTGAGGATCCCTGGCAGCGGGACCTTTCGCCGTACGAGC